CGCCGCCAGGTGCTGTGGCCCTTCCTGCTGCAGTTCGTGACGCCCGTGCCCTTCACCAACGCCCTGGCCCCGCTCTGCAAGAGCCTCGTGCACTTGGCCGCCAAGAGGCAGGAGGAGGGCGAAGACGCGGCCCTCGTCCGCTGCGACCTCAACGGTTCGTGCCGGCCTCCGCGGCGGCCGCGCCGTGCTCGCCGACAGCCCCTAACGCCTTTTTTCCCCTCTTTTTGCAGCAAATCTGCCTTCGCCCTACGCTCTGACGACGCGACTGCTGGTAAGTGGCCTGGGGAYGGCGCTGGCTTTGTCACCGGCCCCGCGGAGCCGGCGCCTCCGCCGTGCCCCTGGGAACAGAAAGGGGGTCCCGCAGGCAGGGCGAGCGCTGTCCCCGTCCCGCTGCCTCCCCCTGCTCCCCGGAGGGCTGCTGGCCTCCGCGTCTGGGTCGGCCTCGGGATCTGGGTCGGCCTCCGGATCTGGGTCGGCCTCTGGATCTGGGTCAGCCTCTGGATCTGGGTCGGCCTCTGGATCTGGGTCGGCCTCCGGATCTGGGTTGGGCTCCGGATCTGTGTCGGGCTCCGGATCTGGGTCGGGCTCCGCGCGCTCCTGTTTCGGCGCGTCCCGCTCCCCGTGCGACCGTCCCCGTGTCGGTTACGGAGACGGCGGCTCCTCCGCGAGCGYGTCGCCGTCGCGGCCGCTTCCCGCCGTGGCTGCAGGGCTTGGGAAAAGCGGCTCCTCCGCCTGGAGGAAGAGCAGGAGGCCTCCTCTTCCTCCCGGGCACGSATTGCTGCTGTCCTGTCAGCTCTGCCGTGGCAGCAGCCGCAGCGAGAGGCGGCGGCGGCTGCTCCGCTGGCGCAGAGGCTCCATTCCCGGGGTGCAATCCGGGTGTTTGGCTGCGTGTTCTGCCCTTTCCTTTGCATTGAGGCCTTTCCCAATCCGCAGGTCGTCTCCTCGCAGCCGTACGCGGGCGACTGCCGCGGGCCGGCCGCCCTGCGCCTGCTGGGCGCGCTGCGCTGCAGCGTCCACCCCGCGCTGCAGCAGCTCTGGGGCCAGAGGCTCCCTGCCCTGCTCGAGCACCTGGAAGGTGGGAAGGGGCTGCTGCTCCGGGGGGGCTTTGCTGCATGGAGACCCTTGTTCAGATGGGGCTGCRCGCGTCCGCAGCGTGCTTTGGCCTCTCAGCCCGCGCTGCGCGTCGTGAGGATGCGAGCCGAGGGCAAAACGGTGCTTTCTTCCAGAGAACACGGAGAAATCCCTGTGCCAGAAGGAGTGGGAGGAGATGCTGCTCCAGGTAGGAGCGCTGGGGAGTTCACGGGCTGCACAGGGAGGTTGTGGAGTCTCCTYCWTTGGAGATCTTCCAAACCCGCTTGGATGCAGCCCTGGGAAAGGTGCTCTGGGTGACCCTGCGTGTGCAGGGGGTTGCACACCTGAGGTCCCTTCCAACTTAAAGCATGCTATGATTCCATGAATTTATGACTCTCTGATTTTATGGCTCTGTGATAAGAGCTAGAGAAAGGCAAGCGCAGGCGACCGCAGCGTCGGTTCCCAGCGCGCAGGCTGCGGCAGCGCCTGCGGGTCGCAGCGCCTGCAGCGCGGGCCTTGCGGAGCCAGGGGCTTCTCCTCGCCCCGGCTGCAAGGTCCGGGAGCGTCCGGCTTTTGCTGTCACGTTTTTGGTTCCCGTCACTTTGGAAATGCAGATGTGGGTTAATGCAGGCGTCGTCTGCGGGGAGAGTTAAAAGGAGCTTTCGGGCTCTTTGGGTTCGAGAACGCCGGTCCCGGGGGGGTCTCCCTGCTTAATTGGGGAGCCTGGAAATGGGCCACGGAGAGGCAATTAGACCTGGGCAGGGCTCGTCCTGCTCCTCCGAGCCGGCCGCGTCGCCTGCGCGCAGGCTGCAGTGCAGGAGAGCAGCCCCACCAACTGGGCACAAATTGCACCAACTGGGGACAGATTGCGCAAATTTGGGAGCGGGGAACGGCCGTGGGGCAGAGCAGGATGTGGGGAAGGACCTGGGGACCTGGGGCAAGAATCTGGGGACCTGGGGAAGGGGCTGGGGACCTGGGACAAGGACCTGGCAACCTGGGGCAAGGACCTGGTGACCTGGGGCAAGAATCTGGGGACCTGGGGAAGGATCTGGGGAGCTGGGACAAGAACCCAGGGACCTGGAGAAGGGGCTGGAGATCTGGAACAAGGACCTGGTGACCTGGGACAAGGCCTGGGGACCTGGGGAAGGGCCTGGGACCAGGGACAAGGACCTGGGGAAGGGCCTGGGGACAAGGGACAGGGACCTGGGGAAGGGCCTGGGACCAGGGACAGGGACCTGGGGAAGGGCCTAGGGCAAGACCTGGGGACCTGGGGACCTTAGACAAGGACCTGGGGGCCTGGGGCAAGGCGTAGGGACATGGGGAAGGGGCTGAGGACCTGGGGAAGGACCTGGGGACCTGGGACAAGGACCTGGCAACCTGGTGCAAGAATCTGGGGACCTGGGGAAGGGCCTGGGGAATGAGGGACAGGTACCTGGGGACCTGGGACAAGGACCTGGGGACCTGGGGAAAGAATCTGGGGACCTGAGGAAGGGCCTGGGGAGCTGGGACAAGAACCCAGGGACCTGGGGAAGGGCCTGGGGACCAGGGACAAGGACTAGGGGCCTGGGGCAAGACCCGGGGACCTGGGGAAGGACCTGGGGAAGGGCCTGGGGAAGGGCCTGGGGACCAGGGACAGGGACCTGGGGAATGGCCTAGGGCAAGACCTGGGGACCTGGGGACCTTAGACAAGGACCTGGGGCAAGGACCTGGGGACCTGGGGCAAGAATCTGGGGACCTGGGGAAGGGCCTGGGGACTGGCCCAAGGCCTGAGGACCTGGAGCAAGGCCTGGGGACCTGGGGAAGGGCCTGGGGATCTGGGACAAGGACCTGGGGAAGGGCCTGCAGAACAGGGACAGGGACCTGGGGGCCTGGGGCAAGGCCTGGGGACCTGGGACAAGGACCTTGCGACCTGGGGCAAGAATGTGGGGACCTGAGGAAGGGCCTGGGGACCTGGGACAGGGACCAGGGGCCATGGGCAAGACCTGGGGACCTGGGGACCTGGGGCAAGACCTGGGGACCCGGGGCAAGAACCCAGGGAACTGGGGCAGGAACCCAGGGACCTGGGGCAAGGAC